CCACCATTCGCGTAGACGTCCTTCCCACTTCGAACCAAGATCGTAATATCTTGTTCTCGTAGTGCGTGGGGGTTGGGGGGGCGCTGATGCCCGCGAAGATGTTCAGATCCATGTGCTGATGGCTGTGCCGACTTGCTCACTTGCAGCAGATTGGTGCATTCACCCATCGGGTCGTCACTGCGGTCCTCTGGCGGGGGCCTTGAAGCTGCAGGCTGGGATGCGTCAGCGACCAGGTCCCGCCGCGAAGCAATCCTGGCAGTGGAAAGCGACAATTGACGAGTCGCCTCGGCGATCAATAGATCGACGCATGCCTGATCCGCTTGCTGAGCAGCCAGCGATAGCCGAACATTGCGAACTGTTCTGGGAGGTAGAATCAGAAGGTGGTGCCACCTCCCGCGGCCCTGCCTGCAAATGTCCTGGTAGCGTAAGTTGACTCTCCGCAAATCCTCCTCTACATCAAAGAAACTGTGAAGGCACAGGCGCCTCGCAAGTTCTCGAACCTGTTCTGGTGTAGAGGCGAGGCGTCGTAGTTGCGGGTCTCCCACGATACGCAGCTCAACAGACGGTTGACACCACCAGAGCCAATCCTCGTAGCCCGTCGTGTCATCCCAAGCAATCGCATCACCAACCCAGTGACTGGCATATCCACTGAGGTGCTGCCGAACGCTGTCTTGGTCCCACTCAACATCTGACCATCCCGCAGCCTGGAGGGGAGTGCCCAGTATCGTAGCGTCAGGCTGAGAGCGGCGGGCACGATCAAAACCGATGTCGCCACACAAAACAGCCCGAGCTGCCAGGCCCGCCTCAACCTCAAGCTCGGGAGGCCCCTGGCGGACGTAGCTAGGTTGCCGAGGCAGCGGCTGATGGCCCTGACGCCCGATGCGGCCTTCGCCAGTACAAGTGTCCAAGACTGCCTGCGCTGTAGGATTGTCGCCCACATCTTTGTCGTCGCGGTGCTGCTCTGCGACGCTGTGCGCGCTGAGTGGTAGGATGTCACCATTCGGAGCCTGCCGCGGCATGCCACTGGCGGTGACCAGGCAACTGGTGCTGGCAAGACTCAGCAGCACCAGCTGAGGGGGAGGCTGACGTGAGTGCTTGGCCCTGGTCGCTGGTCACCCTCACTGTCTTCAGACGGGATCGCTGCGTCCCCCTCTGTGGGTGTAGGTGGTGCTGCCGACGCTGCTGCTGCTGCTGCTGCTGCTGCTGCTGCTGCTGCTGCTGCTGCTGCTGCTGCTGCTGAAGGGGCGAAGGCTGCATTGGAGGCCCGCTGCGCCGCCACCAAAGAGAGAGCCTCGGTGAACTGCCGCTTGAGCGGGTTATCGTAAGTGACCTCATGGCCTGGGGTGACTGATGGTGCCGCATTGACAATCTGCCCCGGTCTCTCCATAGCCACTGCGACCGCCTGTTCATCTCCTGGAGTCGGGGCAGTTGCCGTGGCGAGGGCCGCAGCACGGGCGGCATGGACCTCCGCATCGATGACCGTGAGCTCGCTCTGCGCTTGGGCCAGCTCCTCCTGCTTTGAGTCCAGTTGGGACCGCAACAGTCTGTGAGCCTCCGTGAGCACGCTGGCCTCAGTAGACTTCTGGCGCTGCCTGTCCGAATATCGCCGCAATTGATCATCAGGTGTACGAGGCGCTCGCTCTTCTTCCTCGGCCTCTTGTAGTTCTTTGTTGGCGGCCAGCACCAAGCCGCTGTTGTCGTCAAGACCGAGCCTCCGCAAGGCCGACAGGGCCTTGCGTGAGGGACAAACCGCATCTGAAGCTGTGGGCGGCTCATCTGCAGTTTCGTCGGCCGCGGCACGCTCTGGGCGGGCGCTGCCTGCGCGAGGCGGTCGGCTGGCCCGACTTCCTGCTGGTGCCCGAGCTGGCTGCTTGTCGGGCGGCGGGTTGGCAGGATCTGGCTTCCCAGCTCGACCTCTCCCGCATCTGAAGCAACGGGCGTTGCTCGCAAAATTGCAACCATACCCACACTGACGGCTAGCCAGACATGCTCGCCTGGGCTCCATCTGCACAACATCGTGTCCCTTCTTGCACATAGGCGATGAGGAACCGTGATGCTGTTTCGGGTAACTGATGTGCAGCTTCACGTCTGAGTCGGTGACGGGCGGAGCCACGAGCCCTCCTCAGCTTTGCGATGCCACGCTGGGGAACCCGAGCGTGGCATGCTGCCCGAAGACGTGCCTCCGTGTCTGGCGCGTCGCCCGCCTGGGCGACACTGGGCGCGGGGGCGGCGGCGCCAGGCCGCATCGCAGGGGCCGATCGCGCGCGCGGCGCGCGCGGGCAACCATGCTGGGGGTGGGGACCCTCGACCCTGAACCCCTAGAACAACTAAGGAGAAGAGAAGCACAAGCACAAGCACGAGGACGACGAGAACGAGGGCGAGCACGATGAGGAATGTGGAGGACGATGACGACGACGTCGACGACGACGACGACGACGACGACGACGGAGGACAGTAAGAGGCAATTGGAGAAGGACGTTGCATCAAGAGAGGGTCCTGGTGCCCCTATCGGGCTACCCTGGGGGTTCTTGGCGTCGCACGGGGCTGTTTTGGGACCCGTTGGGGCCTTATTGGGGGCCTCTTGGGTCCTCTTGTTGGCTTCTGGCGTCTTCGTTGGCTGCCTAGGCGCGTCGTGGGGTTCTTTTGGGAAATGTCTTGGGCCGTCTCGGCCCCAATCCGGGGCCGTCTCGGCACCATTTTGGGTTGTTTGGGGGCCTCCTGGGCGCTTCAGGGAATATCTTGAGGCCCTCTTGGCCCGGGTGCCTCCTGGAGCGCTCTTGGGGGTCTCTTGGGGCCCTCTTGGGGCGCTCTTGGGCGCTCGAAGGGCCTTCAGGGGCGTCATTCGGGTATCCTGCGGGCCGTTCAAAAGCCCTCCAGGAGCGATTTCACGACGGTGTCGATTCGGAATCCCCTCCGGGGCAATTATTTTTGGAACCGCCAACAAGCCGTCCACGCCAGGGGCACTTCCCGTCATCCGCCGGCAAAGTCCGGAATGGTTAGAGTAAATATAAAGAATATTTGGTAGAGAATAAACAGTCCACGCCAGAGGCGCTTTCCATCCGCGACCGTGCCGCGAGGCGCGAAGTGGAGCTTTCTCCAGGTACTCAGGTGTCCTCTATTCTCTGTGCTCAGGATTCTAAGATTATGATATTCTCAAGGCTGGGGTTCAAAATTCCCAAATGTCCCAGGCGTTCCCGCGCGTCCTGCCTCGCATGACCTTACTTCCCACAACCAGAGGGCCCCAAGAATGGCCAAGAGGGCCCCAGAAAGCGCCCAAGAGGGCCCGAAAGGCACAGCCCAAAAGCGCTCCAAGACGCCGAGCATTGCCCCAAGACGGCCCAAGAGGCCCCGGAAGCCCCAAGAGCGCTCCAAGAGGACCCCCCAAAAGACCCAAAGTGGCAAACATCATTGATCTTGCTTGTGTTTTCTATGTTTTTCGCGTTCTCGCGTTTTCGGGCTTCCGACGCTCCAAGATGGCCCCAGAGGCCTTGAAGACAGCCCCAAGACTGCCCAAAAGGCGCCCAAGAGGGCCCCAAGAAGGTCCAAGAGAGCCCCGAAACGGCCCAAGAGGCGCCCCAAGATCGGCCAAGAGGGCCTCAAGACGGCCCCAAGAGAGGCCCAAGAAAGGGAACACGAACAAACAATTCGGGCCTTCCGCTCCAAGACAACCCCAGGAGGCCCCTAAGAGAGCCCAAGAGGCCCCCGAGAACCCTCCCTCGATATCCAAACGAACATCCAAGAGGCCTCTAACCCACAACCCAGGCACGGTAGCGGGATGGGCCGAAGGTTGATACATACTCCTGGAACCCCATACCTGTTCTAGAAACCTTGACAAGCCTCAGAGCACTAGCCCGATGCATTGAAACAGAACTGCCCGAACCAGAAAGTGGGCGGGTTCTTTCTCGGCGTCTCCGCACTGGGCGGAAGGGGAGGTGAGGGGGGGAGACAAGCACCCCACCTCCGCTCAGTGCGATTGTTTGCAGCAGTGCATCCAGTGGGGGAGACTCCACCTGCTCGAGACAGGCGCCAAAAACAGCCAAGAGCTACTCCAGAAGGGGGCGGGGGGAGTGGGGGTGCGGGGGCCCGCGCCGACTGGCAAAACAAATAATAAAACACGACCACCAAGCCTTCGAAGAGTCCCCCAGCCTTCTGAGAAGTTCCCCGAAGACGAAAACCTTCTCGGAAGGCGCGGGGGCTTCTGAGAAGTCCCGCCGCCTTCTGAGAATAAGGCCTTCGCCTTCTCGCTTCCCCCCCTCGCTCGCCGCCGATACAGGGAAGCCAGGACGCTTCGCTACATCGGGGATCTGTTGACCCGGGTCAATCCAGACCCGGGTCAGTTAGGCCTTGCAGGATCCTGCATGATCCTGCAAGATCCTGCACCCAAACCCGGGTCACTGCGCAGGATCCTGCACCCAGACCCGGTCCATGCGACCCCTGCCCTGCAGGCTCCTGCAGGATCGGGCGCTTTGGCTGACCCCCGTTTGCATTCACCCCCGTCTAAATGCTCCCGAAACTTCGAAAATGGATGCTTTCCCCGTTGTTCACGCATCCTGATCGCGATGCTGGCGACCGACCTCGTGGAAATCCACCGCCTCTGTGCCACGACCTGCGCCTTCCTCGGTCTGGGGCATGCCCGGACGCAGGCCCCGAAGGCCCCCCCCCCTCCCCGAGCACAGGCTTCTCCCAGACCCAGCACCGCATCGCCCTGCCCCTCCCCCTCCCCCCCTCCCTGAGCTCGGGAGCGGCCAAGAAGGGAGGGGGGTGTCCAAAAAGGGTGGGTGCAAATCATGACCGGCGGCATGTGCGCGGCCCAGCGGGGGGGCCGGAGACGTAATGAAACAAGAAGAGGCGCCATCAAATCTGGGGAGATATCATGGCCCACGTCATGATATCCACCCCCCCCTAGTCATCACCCCCCTCTTTTCCGCCCCCGATGAGCACAGGGCCTCCCAAGCCGGGGCTCCCGACCGCTGCTGGAGACCGTTCGCCCGGCCCCGTGCCTAGGGCTGCCCGCCGGCACGGTGGCGGCCGCGCCGGGGCGGCCTCGCCCTCGGCGTCGGGTCCGCGGGCTGCCCCAGGCGCTCGGCGGCAGGCGGGGCCGCCTGGGCGGCGCGCCGCACGGGGGTGCACGGCGCCTCTGCCACGGCAGGGCCTCGACGACGACGACGACGACGACGACGACGACGACGACGACGACGACGACGACGGCGCCGTTCGAGGTTCGAGGGCGGGGGTGGCGTCGTTGCCACGACGAGGCGACTCGCTCGCCTTGGAGAGGCTCGGCTGCTGCGGAGGGGATCCCAGTCAAGGCGCTGGAGATGGAGACGACTCTGGGCTCGGGCGGGGTTCTGGGTTCGAGGCTGTTCCTTTGATCTTGGTTGGGGCACATCGTCGTGGCCGAACCTCAGCGCGGCCAGAAAAATTACTCAGTGCGTGGAGCTCCCAATATGTGCATCACATGTTTTATGTCATGCCTTAGTGAGCGTCTGTTCATAAGCGTCCTACCCCCTGGCGGCTCCCCTTAGGGGTGCTGAAACCAGCGCCCCCCCTGAGACATCCTCAAAACCTCATATGGAAACCAAGGATGTTGAGCATGAAAACGAGCAAACCGCCTGAGACATTCCCACAAAATGGCCGCGAACGGGCCTGTGCAAACACCCCGAAACAAGCGCCCCGCCTGAGACATCCTCACAATCTGCTCTTAAAGCAGAAGATGTTGAGCATGAGAACCAGCAAACCGCCTGAGACATCCCCACAAAATGGCCACGAACGGGCTCGTGCAAACACCCCTGGCGGCTCCCCTTAGGGGTGCTGAAACCAGCGCCCCGCCTCAGACACCCTCACAATCTGCTCTCCAAGCGAAGGATGGTAAGCATGAAAACAGGCAATCCGCTTCAGACATCCCGACAAAATGGCAGCGAACGGGCCCGTGCAAAAACCCCTGGCGGCTCCACTTAGGGGTGCTGAAACCAGCGCCCCGCCTCAGACATCCTCCAAATCTGATGTGTGTTGAGTAAGTCAGACTAAGAAAAGGTCTGACTATGAGTAGGTATGAATATGAGTATGAGTAAGTATGTGTATGAGTACGTCTGGGTATGAGTAAGTCTGAGTATGAGTAAGTCTGTGTATGAGAAAGTCTGTGTATGAGTAAGACTGGGTATGAGTAAGTCTGAGTATGAGTGAGTCCGAGCAGGAGGAGACGAGAAGAGGAGGGGACGAGAAGAGGAAGGAGGCGGAGGAGGAGGAGGAGGAGGCTTCCAAATGATAACAATAACCCCAGCTTAGGATAGCGAGACTGAGTATGAATAAAGCTGGGTATGACTTGGTCTGAGTATAAATGAATATGCCGTCCTTCCCTTTTTGCGCGCTCCACCAGGGAAATTCTTAGGTCCAGACACCCTGGGGGCCAGACGGCCAGACCCCTCGGGCAACCTCGGGCTGGCCCGACCCCTGCACTGCCGACCCTGGCTCCGCCAGGCCGCAGCTAGGGCCGAGCCTACCCCGAGGACCCAGGGGTCTCACGCCGTCTGGCACTCTCGAGTCTGGCACCTCACGCGGAGGCGGTAACGCCACGCGTGAGCTCAGCTCCGAGAGGAGACAGTAGTCCCTGTCTTTGGGTGGGGCCATCAAGCTACGGAAAGAGCGCAGCATCAACGGCATCGCGCGCGCTCAGGTGGACTAGCATAGACCCCCTTTTAAGGATATCAAATGCCGTCCTTCCCTTTTTGCGCGCTCCACCAGGGAAATTCTTAGGTCCAGACACCCTGGGGGCCAGACGGCCAGACCCCTCGGGCAACCTCGGGCTGGCCCGACCCCTGCACTGCCGACCCTGGCTCCGCCAGGCCGCAGCTAGGGCCGAGCCTACCCCGAGGACCCAGGGGTCTCACGCCGTCTGGCACTCTCCACGGACCCCTTACTGGCATAGCCGTCCTGTCACGCCCTTTCAGCGCCAACCCTCTCACCCTGACTTTGGAGGCGAGGAAGGAGGGAGAGCGGGGAGGGAACAACAAAAAAAAAAGAAGACAGGGATGCGAATGAGCTGTTTCAGGTCGCCGCGGCGCGGAGGCGGGCCGCTAGGTGCCTCCACCGCGCGAGAATCAGCTCATCAGGACCAGCTCCGCCGCACCGGCAGGGAACCCCAGGGATTTTCCAAAAAAATCTTGGACTTCCCGGGGAGTGCGCCTCGGCCCCCTGTCAGCTCGCCGCGGCACGGAGGCGGGCCGCCAAGTGCCTGCACCGCGCGAGCTGCAGCTCGCTCAGGTTGAGCTGCGTCGCCTCTGCCACGGCGCCCTGGACGCACAGCCTTGCCGCGCGGACCGACGCCCACCTGCCCCGGAGCAAGGTCTGTTCCATGGAGCCATGGGACTTGAAGTCCGCGCTGGCCCCGCCGCGCCTCCAGCTGTACAGCGTCAGCTTGGCGTTCCCGAAGCCCAGGAGTTCCTTGACCTGGCTGAAGAGGCGGTGGAACGCGCTGGGCTCCATGCCAAAGCACGCCTCCTCTGGAGCAGCCGCTGCCTTGGCCCTCGCCAAGAGCTCATAGGCGACTGTGCTTCGCACGAGGACGAACTCCTTGGCGCCCGTCTGGTGCTGGCTCTTTGTGCCTCGTAGCAGCAGCACCGCTGACGCCCGAGCTGGGCACAGCTGTACGTCGTTCCAGACGAGCGAGGCCATCTCGCCAGTCCGCATGTACGTGTCGTACCCAGCGGCCAAAACTGCAGCCGCGCCCAGGTGGCCTGTCGCGGCAAATACCCCCGCGAAGGCTGCCGCAATCAGCGGCCCAATTGGAAGGGCGCGGCCAGCTGGCTCTTGGCGCTGCCACGTCCGCGCCAGCCGCCAGCTTTCACGAAGATGCCCACGCACCGGAGGGAAAAAGTGTGATACTCCAGCGATGGCATTGTTGATGTCAAACAGGGGCCCGTGCTCGCTCCACCGCTTCTCGATGAAGGCCGCAAGATCTGTGTCAACCTGCGCGGGCGTGCATGGTGAACGCCTCTCCTCCACCCAGAAGTCAACGACCTCGTTGACTGCATCAGTGTACCTCTGGAGCGAGAGGGGCGAGATCATGACCTCCCGCAGGGGCCTCGCTCGCGCGGCCAGGCGTCGCGCGAGAGCCTTGGCGGCCACGCTGTCCGCAATGGTGCCCGCCGCCGAAGCTCCAGCGGGACGGCGTATCCGCCGGCATGTCGTCTGTGTCGCAGTAGCCGTAGATCGGGTACCCGCCCGTCGCGAGGTGCAGCGCGTTGAGCCTGCGGAGGGCCGGCTGCAGGGCAAGCGCACTCGAGCGGCCTTTGGTACTGACTGCCGCGATCGCTTGGGCATCCAGGATGTGGAGGTAGCGGCAGCGGTGATTGGCCACCGCCCGGCAGCGCCACCTGGCCCCCGCGACGGCTGACTCCAGCTCCAGCGCGGAGATGTGGGCGGGTCTCTGCCACAGGAAGCCCTTGGCGATCCGCCAGGCCCACAGATGGGTGCGCAGCCCTGCCCGCGGCCACGCACGCGCGCGGTACAGAGCCCCGCAGTCGAGGCGCACGTCGGAGCCCCCGCGGTCGGCGATGCGCAGGAGCTCGACGATGAGGCTCCGCTCGAGGACTGAATCGCGAAGCCCAGGCTGCTGGAAGTCCGGGACGACGTTCCAGTTCGCCTCGCACGCCCCGATCTCAAGGCATTGCTGGCCCGCGACTGGCGCCTTGACTGACTTGATTTGAGCCAACCAGGTGCCAAGGATAAAAGCGACAACCTGCACACAGAAGGTATTGCCAATGAGAGACTCCATGACAACTGCACGCTCGGACTCAGGAACGCTATCTTTTACTGCGCCCTGAAAATATAACCTGTCGAAGCCCATGAGTGCACCGCGCTCCTCTGGGTCGGGCAGCCGGCCCCGCTCACGCGCCGCATCCCAGATGAGCACTCCGTCCTCGTAGTTGTTGACCTGGTAGCGGTACCCGTCAGACGCCCAGCGACTCCGAGCCTGTTCCGTGGCGCGCTCGATCCCGACGGGCCTGAGCGGGGGGTGCTTCCTGATGATCGGCCTCGCGAAGCAGGGGAGGTCGGTGTTGCCGTCCAGGAGCGACCAACCCTCGTGGAGGACAGCCTTGAAGGGGAGGCGCTCGATGGTCACGTCGATACGGGTGCACGCCTCGTCCCCCGTGCCCTTGACCTCCGCCAGGCAGCCGGGCGGGAGGTGAGAACAGACCGCCCAGGAGCACCAGTAGAGCCTCGGCCGGCTGACCCGGGTGAAGTGCTTCGCGTCCAGCAGCACGGGCGTGACCTTCAAGATCTTGGTGAACTGCGCCCGCGACTCCAGTGTCATGCTGAAGACGTTCTCGACGAACCACACCACGCGCCGCGGGAAGACCTCCTCCGCGACGCCGATGAGTTCAGGCACCCGCAGGAATAGCCGAGACCGCGCGCCCTCCAGCCCTGAGCCCACAGCATTGAGCCCTGCGAGGTCCTGGCACGGGCTGCCAGCAGTGATAAGGACCCAGTCGGCGTCGCGCTTGTAATTCTCGAGCATGTGCCTGAACCGTTCGCCATCGATCCGCTCAATGTCCCCGAGCTCGACGACGCCAGCCCAGCGCCTGCGGACCAGCCGTCGGGCAGCTGGGTCCACCTCGCTGCTGAGGTGGGCGACGATGGTGAAGGGCAGGCGCGAGGCTGCAACTGCTGCGGCCGCCGCCCCACAGAACAGCTCCACGATGACGACGCGCGGCCGCCATCGCACCCCTTCTACAGGGTACGATATCGCCCCCGGCCGCAGCGAGACGACCGAGGCGCCTTCCATCGCGCACGCAATTCCCGCCTCGGTGAGCCCGACCGTGTGGCAGATCCCTCCAGCACGCTCGCTCGCATCCGTCGCGATGACGCACGGGTCGATCTGCGCTCGCAAGTCGGTGAATGCGAGTGGGAGGGCCATCATGAAGCTAAGCAGCTCGTCGCACATGTCGAGGGGAACTGCCTGCGGCTGCTGCCAGCGCCCAGCTGCCCACACCGCGCTGAGGTAGCCCATGAACGGCCGCCGGAACTCAGCTGCCCTAACGCAACGGCCAAGGATCATGAGGACGGCCTGCGACGACATCGCGCTCTGGCCCATCCCCCAGAGCGTGAACCCAAGCAGGGCGTGCAGCTTCTCGACGGTGACCCCGACTCGGCCTTCGAGGCCGTCAAGGCCGGCGCCCATCCGCTCGAGAATGAGTGCCCTGTGCTTGGCCTTGCCCTCGGCCACCTGAATCCCGGAGCGGCGGTAGGCCTGGCGCTGCTCCTCCTGCACCGCGCCCACGGTCCCACGAAGCTCAGCAATGAGCCGCTCCGGGACGATCTCGCCGTGGTCCCAGTCGTCGATGTAGTGCTGAACCCACTTCTGCTCGAGCTCCTTCGACTTGAAGGGCAGCGGGCGGTCCTTGCGCCACTCCATGCCGGGGGCGAACCCTGCGCCCAGGGGACGCATGCTGAAGCCGAGCCGGCGGTGGCAGTGTTGGAAGACCGTGACGGCGTTGACCCAGCCCATCGGGATGACCCGCAGCGCGATGTGCGTCTTCCCAGGCCCGCTGACCCCGATGCGCTCGTTCGGGATAGCATCCGCGAGCGTCATGTAGGGCTGCCAAGCCTCCGGGAGCTCGTAGCAGTAGAAGGCGGAGGCCTGGTCGTCGGACGACCACAGCAGCATGTGGCCCTCGGGGAGCGGGATGGCCACCCACGACGGCGACGCACTGAGGGTGCCAACGTCGTCCCGCATGATGCGCTGGTAGCTGTTGGCCGGGACCATGTTGATGATGAGCCTCTGCGCGCACGGGCACCCGGGCGTAGGCGTCCCGTTCTTCTGAACCCCGAAGGCGCCAGCAAGGACTTTGCGGTTCCCTACCTTGAAGACCCTCTCCTCCGCGATCGGCGCCGCAAGGCCCAGCTCGACCAGCTTCGCGCCGATGTCGTGCCACTCTTGCTTCGACTTCACCTGAATCGATGCTCTTGGCACCTCCTCGGGCCACTCTGCCCGCGGCAGCAGGGCCAAGCCTGGATCGGCCAGCCAGCTGCCCACCCGGGCGTCTGCGATGTATATCGCCCTCACCGACGCGGCTACGCCTTTCGCTGGCAGCCCGGGCATGACGCCGCCGAGGGTAAGAGGCAGGGCCCGTGCCACCTCCTCGCCGCCGTAGGTGACGTCCTTCGAGCTGATCAACTCCTCCCAGGCGGGGAGGTCGACCGTGGTGTCTGCCCCGCGAGCGAAGTAGTCGCATGCCTGGCGGATGATCCCGAGGGCGTTCACCTGGCTGGCAGAGCTCTGGACAGGCGGCACCGTCGGCGCCTGCATGTGCCCGGTGTATTGGTAGTTAAGGCTAAACACAACGAGCTGGACCCAAGCCTCGGCGGTGGCCTGGTCGACCTTGTCGGCTGCCAGCTCCTGCCCAGCACAGCGCGCTGCCCGGAGCTGACTGAAGACTGGGGCGTCGGGAACGGGTAACGGCAACACCTCGCGCAGGCGCGTGAAGCTCTCCGTGGGGTCTGGTGGAACGCGCATTCGCCTGATGAACCTCCCGACGTCCCCAGGCGCTCCGTGGGCAGCCTCGTGCATGATGAGGGCCAGCTCGAACTTGGTGGCCGCTCCTGTGCAGCTGGAAGCGAGCAGCTGGCGCCAGCGCCTGACCTGGGGCGCGCCCCTGAAATGGCGCTCATCCGGCTCTGCACTGTCTCCCGAGGCCAATCGGGGCGCCCCGGCAGGGAAACCCGGGAATTTTCCAGAAAATCCTGGACTTCCCTGGGGGTGCGCCTCGGCGCTCACTTGGACCAGGGGGGCCGCGCCAGCTGGCCCTTGGCGACGGGCTTCGACTTGGCCTTCGGGGCGGTTGCGCTCCTGGCCCCAGGGGCTGCGCGGCCGCGCCTCGCCACCAGCATGCGGGACTTCCACTGGGCGCGCGTCTCGCCCTCGCGCCTCGGAAAGGTTCCCTTCAGATCCTTCCAGCTCCTGGCGCCAGGGGCGGCTGGCTCGCCGCCCTCCTCGGGCGGTGGGGGCGCCTCCGTCTCGGTGTCCGACCCCGCAACCATGTGGACCGTCCGCTCGCCGCCCGGCGCTGCTGGGGCTGCTGCAGCGCGGCGCCGGCCCGCAGCTTGAGGCGGGGCCGCGGCTCCGCCCGCTGGGACTCGGCTTGCCAATATCCGCAGGGCCTCCGCAGAGCCCGCGACTGGCGTCCCCGGGGGTGGGGGCCTCGCTTCCGCAAGGCCATGGCCGCTGGGAGCCGCGTCCCCCCGGGCGGGCGACGACTCCCGGCCAGGCCCCTAGCCCGGCCTCCTGTCCTGGAGCTTGCGGCGGAGCTCGGCGACCTTGAGCTCCCTCGCCTCGACCTTCTCGGCAGCCGTCTCCTCGTCGATGGTAGCTCCCGACGGGAGCTGCTCCTGCGGCACCAGCGTGAGCCACCTCGCCGTCCGCCAGTGCCCGTCGCGGATGGCCATCGTCCTGGCCTTGAACTCCTGCATCAGCAGGTCGCCGGTCTCGACGACGTCGCCCTTGAGGATCCCGTCGAGGGCGAGCCCGAGCGTCCGAAGGGACCGGCGGGCGGGAGCGTCCGCGGCGGGTCGAAGAAGACCGTGTCGCAAAAACTGCGTGACGCACGGCGCGAGGGGGTCACCGTGCGCAGCTGGTGAACTGCGCCTCGGAGGTGCGCGAGCCCGTTCTCGAGGAGTGCGCCCGGGCGGCGGCGGGCAATCTGCCTGAAGAGGTCCCGCTTGATGCCGACCCCCTGGAAGCTCTCGCCCAGCGCACCCCGCTCGAGGTCGCTGTCGCCAGCCTCGTCGCCCTCCTCCTCGCCGGGGCCAAGGAGCGCCGCGGCCAGCGCCGAGGCCAGCCGCGTGCGCGCGCCTGAGGCCGCTGGCTTCCCCGCTGCAGCAGCTCCTGCCTCCGCCGCGCGCGCGGCCACAGCCGCTGAAAGGCGGTCCCGCACCGGGCCGCCGTTCAGGGGGTCTCGCTGTTGCTTGCCTCGCGGGCCTCCGCGGCTGCCCAGGCGCGCCAGCCTGTCCTCCAGGCCAGGGTCGGCGGCGACGTCCTCCAGCCCCGCGAGCTCCGCGTCCAGCGGGCTGCCGCCGACGTCCGCGAGGCTGCCGCCCAGCCGCGGGGTGGCCGTCCCCCCGACGCCCCCTGGCTCGCGGCGGGGGCGCTTCGCCGGCGGCTCCGCGTCGTCGAGCGGCTCCTCGGGCTCCCCCGCCGGCGGCCCCTCGCCAGGCGGCGCCGCCTCGGGCGGCGGCGCGAGCGGCGGGGGGCGCAGCGGCACGCCCAGGTCGCTGGCGCGCCGCCGAGGGCAATAGAGTTTGGCCTTCTCCTGCTCGAAGTCGGCGGGATCGATGACCCGCCAGATGTCGAGGTGCTCGACCACCGTCCCGCGAGGTGTCGGGGCCGCACACCCGCTGGCCCCGCACGCGCAAAGGTGGAACACGGTGTTCCCAGGCCGCCCGCCCTCCACGTTCGGGTGCTGCGCGTACCAGCTGAAGTACTCGTCGCTGGCACCGACGTGGGCGGCCTTGAAGAACCTCCCGAGGGGGCCTGGGGCATAGGCCACCTCCACCTGGAGCAGCTCGGTCCCCTGTGGGCGGCCGCCGGCGTCGACGACCTGCGCTAGGATGAGCGTCCCCGGCGGCACCGAGACCGTCGCCGTGATGGTGCCGTTGAGGCTCGCGTCCAGCCAGGCGCCACGGGGCAGCGGCCACGCGCCTGGTTCCGCCATGCCGCGAGAGCTCCCCGCCAGAAGCGCCGGACGGAACCCCGAGGCCGCGGGCTCGGCGCTCAGGCGACGTCACGGCGCGCCTCCTGGCGGGCGCTGGCCCCTCGGAACTCGCGCCTGGACCTCCGTCCAGCGCCTGAACGGTAGGCGGATGTGGTGGCCAGGCCTAACTACCCCACGGGGGGGGCAGGACTCCTGGCCGCCGCTGACGGCGTTATTCGAGCCATCAAGCTACGGAAAGAGCGCAGCATCAACGGCATCGCGCGCGCTCAGGTGGACTAGCATAGACCCCCTTTTAAGGATATCATATGATAATGGGAAAGTGTGAGTAAGAGTAAGTCTGAGTATGACTAGGTTTCAGTATAAATGAGTCTGAGTAAAAGAAAGTCTGCGCATGAGTAAGCTTGAGGAGGAAGAGAGGAAGGAGGAGGAGGGAGGAGAGGAGGGGCTCTGGTCCTGGTTGGAGTCGGCGCCGTCAAAGTAAGAACAAGAACCCCATCTCAGGATATGGGGAAAACCATTCGTTCCATATTCAGCGCTCCTCCTAGAGACTGTAATGGGGGCTATCTACCAGGAAAGAGAACCATGCACATACACCAATTCTGACCAGGCCCATCCCGAGCCCAGGTTCGGTGCATACGCCGTCGTGGCTTCGCCAGGGAGGCATACACACCGATCCCTGGCCCCAGGACGGGCCCGGCCAAGATCGGTGTTATCTGCATAGCTATGCCCGCCCGGCTGTCCGGGGATGCCCATGCGACTATATCTGGCCTGACCTAAGCTAACCAGGGGATTACCAGCGCCATCAGCGACTTCGGCGGGTTTTGTCACTCTGGGGATGCAGTCGTCGTGCTGCCAAGATGAGCGCTGACCACGGAACGAAGTGGCTTTTCTGGCCACGTTGAGGATTGGCCAGGAATCCACAGCCCCTCCAGAGGAGGAGGAGGGGAGGAGGAGGAGGAGGAGGAGGAGGAGGAGGAGGAGGAGGAGAAGGAGAATTTGTTTCAGCACCTTGACTGCAGATGGGGCTTCTAAGCAAATTACTGGCGCAATTCAAGGGCTTAGGGGGGGTGGCGATCCGGGCGAGTGGGCTCCGCCCACTCACGGAATTGACCCACCTATGAGCTAGGTCCGGCAAGGTTAAGCCCACCTTTGTTTCCACTGAGAACTCCCCCTGTCCCCTTAGCATTCCTCACGCCGATCCAAACAGTCTCTGCGACGACGACGACAACGACTCTCGAAGAAGAGCAACAACACCAAGGACACATAAACTGTCGGAGACACGCGCGGATTTCTCGGAGCCACACTGCCCCACTGGCGCACTTCGCGTGCCAGTGGAGGATGTGTCCAGCGCCGATCCGAGAAATCCGCGCCTTCTTCTAGAGAGGTCATGGTGAGTCGTAGGCGTTGGGCAGCCCATGGACGTGTGCAAGGGCATGGAGATCGGCGAGTCTGCATGCTCGTCGAGACATGCCGGATAACATACCAAAGATCGTGCGACAGTCGCTTGAGAAAAACAAGGATCAAGGAAGGCTGGAGAGGCAAGAGGATGGGGGGGGATAAGGGAAGAATACGGACAACGAAGAGTGGAATTGCCAGCCTCGGCAACTCGGTACCGGGCCTTGGTACCGGGCTTCTGCGTGGAAGGGAGCGGACGGACCCACCTGGTCAAGAATCACTGACAGGGTATTCCTCAGACCGTACTTCGTTGCTCGCGCGTGACTCAACAGCTTATGTCCGGAGCTTCGCAAGGTGCCGTGCCCCAGGGCTCTGCGGGTGCGCGTGAAACTGTCATGTCTCCGCGACGACGTCGTCTCTGCGACGACGACGACGACGCCGACTCCTCTGCGATCGCCGCATCGTGGAGACCTGCCCCCAAAGAGACGGAGCACAGAGGCTGGGAGCAAGCTCGGAGACCCAGAGGAGCGAGCGGGCAACCACGTTTCACATCAGTGCGACATCTCAAGAAACATGCCTAAATTCTATACTCGCGCACCGTGTGGTTGCTGACGTGGGCGGCACTTTCTGTTGCACAGCCTGCAATGATCGGCAGATATTCGGACCATATTGGCCTGCTCTTCGGCCGCTCGGGTGGCACGGTGCCTGTAGACCTACAAGGCTCCATCGGCCATCAGCTGTTCGCACTGCCTGGGCGAGTGTCGCAGGTGATAAGGGGGCCTGGACGAGCGTTACAAGACTGCATGTACCTCAATTGTCGGAAGTCCGCACGGATTTCTTGAATCAAGCGACGACCCGAGACATCCGCTCGGACATCCCACCGACATCTCCGATCCGAAAAATCAGCGCGGAGCTCCGCAAGTTTGCGCTCACGCAGATCGAGATCGTTCCTCGTCGAGGGTTGCATTGCCTGGACGACTCGAGGGTCCAAAGGAGGAAGAGGAGGAAGAGGAGGAGGGAGGAGGAGGAGGATCAGACACCTATATGGCCATGCATCCAAATCTTCACTGAACGCGGAAGCCCTAGGACCGACTTAACAACCGCGCATTTCGGACCACCTGTCCGCCCTGAATTCCCAAGGTATCGAAACACTGAACAAACCGCTGCAAAAGCTCACCCATGAAAGCGTAACGATCGTGCTGCAGATCCAGCAAGACGGCCCACGAATCCAAAGTTCTTGAAACTTCGAGCTACCGAGGTCGTCACAACCCCGGCAAGAAAATGAAGACCGAGGACGTGGAAACAAAAAACGGGGCACAGGTTTCTACGACGTAGCCGACTAAATACTCCAGACTTCGTAATAAAGGGAGGGGGGTCTCATTTCGGGAGGGGTCTCTTCCAGGCTATCTTGGAGGGCCTGGAGGGTCTGGGGACGATGCTTTGGAGGGTTCTCTCCCACGGGGGAGGTCTGAAATGGCTTGTCTGGGTCCAGACCCCCTTCCCTTTTATTACGAAATCTGGAGTAACAGTTTCCCTCTTTCCCGGACCGCCACGAAAACCGCGAGCGAGACGTGCCCGACGGCGACGAAGAGGCCACCCTGGCCCCAACGTCGAGCAGGACGAGATCGGGAGGAGGAGGAGGAGGACGATCGGCGGCGAGCCCCGGGGGGAAGTGATAAGGACGGGGAAATCCTCCGGCCTGTTGAGAACTGCTCTATTGAGCCTTCCCCGAAGGCACAGAACACCTCTCAGAAGGCTGGAGGCCTTCTGAGAAGCCTCGCCGCCCTCTGAGAAGGCCTTCTGCTTCTCACGCCCCCCCCTCGGCCCGGAGGTCCCCACGAGGCCCCCAAGAGCCCCCCAAGCGGCCCCCGAGAGGCGTCCAGCCTGGCTCCAAGAGGCCCCCGAGAAGCCTCCAAACAAACCTCCAACGAGCATCAGAGAGGCTTTATACCCACAACCCAGGCACGGTGGCGGGATGGGCCATAAAGTCAACCCGTAGAATGAGGTTGCGCGACAAGAATGCAAGGGCCTTGGAGGGCCATGCTGACGTTCTTGCCGAACGAGGCTGGCCAGCGCGAGTCGCCACGGATGGCCGAAGGGGAAGGAAATGCAAGGGCTACCTTGGGAAGGTCGCTCAGCCTTACGATGCGGGTGGACTGCATGCCATTACTTCGGAGCATTTTCGCTGGCTGGAGGGCAGAGGGTGAAATCTGTAAAATGCCGTTCCGATGGATCCTCGAGGTGCAGAAGCCCATGTGGTCTTCACCCCGAGCCCTCCACCCCCCAGGAAACGTGCAGTGCCTGTCCTCCGAGGAACGCCCTCGGCGGGGCCGCGTCCGCGCCGACACGACGCGAACCCTTCGTGGGCCCTGGAAACGACAGGGCCGTTCTTGTACCGGTTTCGTTTTGCCGTCGCCGATTTTTTATCGGTTCCATCGCCGTTCTATTACGGGTTCCCGCTCCGGTCCCAGTCCTGGAGCCGTTCTTATTGCAGTCTCCGGTCGCCGCTGTTTTTGCCGTTTCCATTTTCGACACTTTTTCGGAAACGGTGAAAAAACGGCCCTGCCGGTTCCGAGGCCCACTAAGGGAGAGCCCTCACCCTCATTCTTCTGGACCCTCCGCCCTGGCCTCTCGCCCCTCTGTCGCTGCGATGCTTGTGGGCTCCCCTGGACTCGCGCACGGCCTCCAACAGTTTCGACGCCTTCTTCCGCACCCTCCGCGAGGTCGGAAGGCGTGGAAGGTGGCGGTGGAGGGCAAGGAGCCCCAATTCGGGGATCTTCTGACCCGGGTCAATCCAGACCCGGGTCAGCGGGAAACCGAAAACTGCAATGCAAGAAAACAAAAAAACTGCAGCGCAGGTCCTCGCAAACCCGGGTCAGCCAATAGGCGCGGCCGCCCTCGCGGCCACGAGCGGCTCGCTGACCCGGGTCAGCCCGAGGGGGTCTTCGCAGGATCCTGCAGTATCTGGCGCCCTGGCTGACCCTCGTTTGCGTTGACCCCCGTCCCGACCAATGGGGGCCCTGCCGTTTCTGGGGCCCACTGAGCGCGAACCCGCCGTGCACAGGACCCCCTCGGATGTCCGAGCGGAGGTCTCGGGCCAGCGCCGGCCCCCCCTGGGGGACCCCCCCCAGGGATGGCGAGGTCCCGCTCAGGTCCGCGCGGTGCCTCACTCCGCAGGACCCACCAGCAGCCCTCGAAAGTGGCGACTGTTTCGCAGATCGCAGCCCTCCAGGGGCGGCGAGGTCCCGCTCAGGTCCGCGCGGTGCCTCACCCCGCAGGACCCACCAGCAGCCCTCGAAAGTGGCGCCAATTTCGCAAATCGCAGCCCCCCAGGGGCGGCGATGTACCGCTCGGGTCCGCGCGGTGCCTCACCCCGCAGGACCCACCAGCAACCCTCGAAAGTGGCGACCGTTTCGCAGATCGCAGCCCCCCAAGGATGGCGAGGTCCCGCTCAGGTCCGCGCGGTGCCTCACCCCGCGGGACCCACCAGCAGGCCTGGAAAGTGGCGACAGTTTCGCAGATCGCAGCCCCCCAAGGACGGCGAGGTCCCGCTCAGGTCCGCGCGGTGCCTCACCCCGCAGGACCCACCAGCAGCCCTCGAAAGTGGCGACAGTTTCGCAGATCGCAGCCCCCCAGGGACGGCGAGGTCCCGCTCAGGTCCGCGCGGTGCCTCACCCGCAGGACCCACCAGCAGCCCTCGAAAGTGGCGACGTTTCGCAGATCGCAGCCCCCCAGGGACGGCGAGGTCCCGCTCAGGTCCGCGCGGTGCCTCACCCCGCAGGACCCACCAGCAGCCCTCGAAAGTGGCGAGTTTCGCAGATCGCAGCCCCCCAGGGACGGCGAGGTCCCGCTCAGGTCCGCGCGGTGCCTCTCCGCACAGGGACCCCGCACTCCCGCAGACTCCGCGGCGAGGCGCTCAGGTCACCCCGCAGGACCCACCAGCAGCCCTCGAAAGTGGCGACCGTTCGCAGATCGCAGGCCCCCAAGGACGGCGAGGTCCCCTCTGGTCCGCGCGGTGCCTCACCCCGCAGGACCCACCAGCAGCCCTCGAAAGTGGCGACCGTTTCGCAGATCGCAGCCCCCCAGGGATGGCGAGGTCCCGCTCAGGTCCGCGCGGTGCCTCACCCCGCAGGACCCACCAGCAGCCCTCGAAAGTGGCGACGTTTCGCAGATCGCAGCCCCCCAGGGATGGCGAGGTCTATTTGGGTCCCGCGCGTGGCGTCACTGTGGGGGCCCCCAGCAGGCCTCGAAAGTGGCGACACTTTCGCAGATCGCAGCCCCCCAGGGATGGCGAGGTCTAATTTGGGTCCGCGCGTGGCGTCACTGTGCTGGGCCCCCCAGCAGGCCTCGAAAGTGGCGACAGTTTCACAGATCGCAGCCCCCCAGGGATGGCGAGGTCTAATTTGGGTCCGCGCGTGGCGTCACTGTGCTGGGCCCCCCAGCAGGCCTCGAAAGTGGCGACAGTTTCACAGATCGCAGCCCCCCAGGGATGGCGAGGTCTAATTTGGGTCCGCGCGTGGCGTCACTGTGCTGGGCCCCCCAGCAGGCCTCGAAAGTGGCGACAGTTTCACAGATCGCAGCCCCCCAGGGATGGCGAGGTCTAATTTGGGTCCGCCCGTGGCGTCACTGTGCTGGGCCCCCCAGCAGGCCTCGAAAGTGGCGACAGTTTCACAGATCGCAGCCCCCCAGGGATGGCGAGGTCTAATTTGGGTCTGCCCGTGGCGTCACTGTGCTGGGCCCCCCAGCAGGCCTCGAAAGTGGCGACACTTTCAGCAGATCGCAGCCCCCCAGGGATGGCGAGGTCGAATTTGGATCCGCGCGTGGCGTCACTGTGCTGGGCCCCCCAGCAGGCCTCGAAAGTGGCGACAGTTTCACAGATCGCAGCCCCCCCAGGGATGGCGAGGTCAAATTTGGGTCCGCGCGTGGCGTCACTGTGCTGGGCCCCCCAGCAGGCCTCGAAAGTGGCGACTGTTTCGCAGATCGCAGCCCCCCAGGGATGGCGGTCTAATTTGGGTCCGCCCGTGGCGTCACTGTGCCGGGCCCCCCAACAGGCATCGAAAGTGGCGACAGTTTCACAGATCGCAGCCCCCCCAAGGATGGCGAGGTTTAATTTGAGTCTGCCCGTGGCGTCACTGTGCTGGGCCCCCCAGCAGGCCTCGAAAGTGGCGACAGTTTCGCAGATCTCAGCCCCCCAGGGATGGCGAGGTCTAATTTGGGTCTGCCCGTGGCGTCACTGTGCTGGGCTCCCCAGCAGGCCTCGAAAGTGGCGACTGTTTCACAGATCGCAGCCCCTCAGGGATGGCCAGGTCTAATTTGGGTCTGCGCGTGGCGTCACTGTGCTGGGCCCTCCAGCAGGCCTCGAAAGTGGCGACACTTTCGCAGATCGCAGCCCCCCCCAGGGATGGCGAGGTCGAATTTGGGTATGCCCGTGGCGTCACTGTGCTGGGCCCCCCAGCAGGCCTCGAAAGTGGCCACAGTTTCACAGATCGCAGCCCACCCATGGATGGCGAGGTCTAATTTGGGTCTACCCGTGGCGTCACTGTGCTGGGCCCCCCAGCAGGCTTCGAAAGTGGCGACAGTTTCACAGATCGCAGCCCCCCAGGGATGGCGAGGTCAAATTTGGATTCGCGCGTGGCGCCACTGTGCTGGGCCAGTGGCGACAGTTTCACAGATCGCAGCCCGCCCAGGGATGGCGAGGTCTAATTTGGGTCTGCCCGTGGCGTCACTGTGCTGGGCCCCCCAGCAGACATCGAAAGCGGCGACAGTTTCACAGATCGCAGCCCCCCAGGGACGGCGAGGTCTAATTTGGGTCTGCCCGTGGCGTCACTGTGCTGGGCCCCCCAGCAGGCCTCGAAAGTGGCGACAGTTTCACAGATCGCAGCCCCCCGCAGGCAAGACAGGAGGAGGCAAGAGGGATACGGGACGGGAAGGAGGAAGGAGGAAGTGTAGACGATACTGGTCTTTTCAAAACGAATACCCAACCAAGGAGGGTTGGGAACGATGTGAGGGATCTTGGGGTTTGTGTGTATTTGTTTGTGTGTCCCTGGGCCCCCCTTCAATGAGTCCGTTCCAGAGCATTCGGGAACGCCCAGAACGCTCTGAGAAGGCCGCGGCGCCCGAGACATCCTCCAAGAGCCCCCGGATCTCAGAGATTCTCGATGTACCATCACCCGATGTTATCCTCTGAACTCTTGGCAGGCCGCGCGGACTTCCTGAGTCTGCGCTGGGACCCCCATGGCGGCGCCTCTGGGACCGCCCTCGGCGCGCTCCGCGCGCCAGGGGCGGAGGTCCGGCTCAGATCTAAAAACTCCGCGCGGGCCGTCAAAAGTGCATGTTTAAGTCGGGCGTGTCCCTCTACAGGAGGAATCTTCAATCATAGTCTGGGGACGATGTTGTCCTACGTTTGTAAATTATTTAATGTTATGAGTATCTTGAATGTTTCGTCCAAAGTCCGCCTGTGGGGGGGCATGACCTGCCTAAGTGCATGTATTATGCCGCTGTGTGTTCCTCTCGCATCGCCGATGCGGCTCGACGTGGCACTCTGTTTTTTCTTTGATTTTTTGAATTTTTCGTCCAAGGTCCGCCTGTAGGGGGACATGCCCGACCTAAGTGCATGTATTATGCCATTTGGCTCGAGGCTGGAGCCCTGGATCGAAGTCTCGCTTGAGCCCTGGATCGAAGTCTTGGTCCCTGGATCGAAGTCTTGATCCCCCAAGGGGCTTTGCCACGCCCGAGGCGATCTTGCATGCCTCTTTGGCCGTCTTGGAGAGCCGAAGGCAGAAAAAAGACGGGAGCGCTGAAATCCTGCGAGAACGGGTCCCTCTTGGGTTCTCCTGCGGGCCCCCGCGGAGTGTTCCCGGAGCGCTCCTGAGGGTCTTGGATGCCGCGGCCAGGCCGAAAGCCCCATCTCCACGCAAGTACAGCCGGATCTAGGACAGAAAACCATCTTTCAAGAGCATGCAGCTCTGCGCCGGCCAAAATGAAGTACACCCGAGGGTGCCCCCCCCCAGGAAGCACCAGAACATCGAATCACGAAGAACCTCAGGGTGCCCTCCCCGAACCGACCTCGATCTGATACATCGGTTCCGACTGTATACAGCAACTAGAAACATCAGTGTTTAGGATTATGTTGTTCCCATCCTACGTAAGGACCGCATCCCAGAAATAATTTCGAGCACCCCGAAAAGTGCCAAAAGAGTGTCGAAACAGTGTCGGGAGAGTGTCTCCCAGGGCCCGACACGTGAAAACCCTTAAGTTTCGGCACTTTTTCTGGCGCTCGAAATTCTGTCTGGTGGTCAAGGCTAAAGTAGGTTGGAGCATCATAAGTCTAGGAAGCAAGAAATCCTCAAGAGCGCAGGCGCGAGGAGCGCTGCAGAGGCCTTGGAGAGCTCCGCGGGCAGGGCCTGGCGCCCCTCGTGCGTGGGGCTCCCGGTCGCGCTGCTCCCGCAGGGCGACGATGCCGCGCCTTGCAGAGAGGCCGGCCAACACCCGTGCACCGCAGGCCTGCCCCATGGGGCCGCTTGCGGCGGCGAGCGTCCTCCTCCTCCTCTCCTCCTCCTCCTCCTCCTCCTCCTCGCCCTCCTCCTCCTCCTCCTCCTCCTCCTCCTCCTCCACCTCCTTCTCCTCCTCCTCCGCCTCCTCCTCCTCTCCTCCTCTCTCCTCCCTCTCCTCCCTCTCCTCCTCCTCCTCCTTGTCCTCCTCCTCCTCCCCCTCCTGTCCCCCCCTCCGTCCTCCTCCTCCTCCCCCTCCTCCTCCTCCTCTCCTCCCCCTCCTCCTCCTCCTCCTCCTCCTCCTCCTCCTTGTCCTCCTCCTCCTCATGCTTCTTCCTTTCACTCGAAGACGAACAAGACTGCAAGCACGTACTCGTTCTACGGACATGGCAGATCGACACCAGCATCGCCGGGGACCACCGGCAGGAGGAGCCAGGGAGGGGTCCCCCTGGTGGCGTGGTCCCCCCACTCGCTCGAGACGTCCCCTATCCCCAGCTCAGGGAGGCATCGTAGCCCCATCGCTGGAGGTGACCCCTGGTGGTGTTGGTGTCGCTTCTGCTTCCCCCCACGTTCCGCGCTCAGCACGGATGTCTAGGGCCTGCGCGGCACCCCCCTGGCGGCGCCTCTGGCGCCTCCCCTGGCGCACTCCGCGGGCCAGGGAGGGGAGTACAGCGCAGATCCACGAGAACCACGAGGAGCTCCGACATGTGTTCGGCTGCGAGCCCAGGGGGGAAGTGAGAAGGGGCGGGTCTTCTCAGAAGGCTCGGAGGTCCCCCAGCCTTCTGAGAAGTTTCCTGAGCCTTGCCCGAAGACGCAGATACAACAACCTCTCAGAAGGCGCGAGGGCGTCCGAGAAATCCCACCGCCTTCTCCGTCTCACTTCCCCCACTCGCTCGCCGCCGACACTTTGATCAGGGAGATGCGTTGCTTCCACAACAAGGGGTCTCGGTCGGTTTCGGGCCTGTGGACCTTCATGAATTTGTCCGGCCCGAAAATAGCGCATGAACGTGGGAATTGGGACTCTGGTCGTGCTTGCTGACGATGTTTCAATGTTGTCGCAACTCCGAATTTCAGGGTCAGGGGATGGGGGGGCACCATCGGATTCTAATACTTTCTGTTGCCACGATCGGCCGACCAATCACACAAGCCTGCCCTTTAGCCCCGCTGCGCTTCCTTCTGCACTATCGGAGCCCTGATCGCAGCAAGTCGCTCTAGGGGGCAGCTCTAGCAAACAGTTGCTGCGGCCAAGAAGTGGCAGAATATGCACGACCACCAGGAACAGAAGGAATAACCGCAGGCCCCGCGCAACTCACCGTCACATCTCGTGCGAGGTGGTGCCAAACCCACCCTACCCTCGAAAGCTCGTCGCTCTATCGATGTGCTGCTCGGGTGATAATTCGCTTGCCGACTTACGGGTCCCCTCTTGAGTGTAGCACCCGATGCAGAGAACCAGTGGCAACTTCTCATGTGCCACTTACGTGCTCCCCAGCTTGTAACGAGTCGCCGAATCATTAGCAAGGAAATCGCCTCAACGTTTGGGGCCTCTTCTTCAAACATCCGCAGTAGTAAACTGAACACGACGCACACTTATGGCCCCACAACCATGGCTTCAAGGTGGGCCACCGAATGGCTTCATCGACAGTTCGCTGCTTAATATCACGCCTCGGAGATGTTTGGTGGACCACACCAGAGAAGCGTATATGCGCATATGCATGTGTACATATCTAAGGACACAGCGAGAGAGGGTAAGAGAGATAGAGAGAAAGAGAGAGGGTAAGAGAGAATACGCATCCTGATTCATATACTAAGGGGGAAAGAGAAAGGGGTAACCAACAACACATACACCAACAACAGAACAAGCGCGAGCGCGCGCGAGAGAGAGAGAGAGATAGAGATCAGCATCAAGGAAGAAGAGAGAGAGAGAGAAACAAAGAAACGCAGCACGATGTACGTATGCACACGTAGACTACGATGAACGGTTGCGGGACTGAAGAAACATACAAACTACGTAAAATCACCGAGAAGCCGGTAGTGTTACAGCATCCAAGGGGGTCGGGGATGGAGCGGCGGAGGAGGGCCAAGTGAGACAACAGCGGCCCTCCCGCCTGCCCAGCTCCGCGGAAACTCTGCACCCGGACCTCTGCAGGAGTCCCTGCCGACCCGCCATTGGTCAAGGCGCAGCCAGCCGTGGCGGCGAGAGAAGCCTCCAGGAGCCAACAGCGCAAGGGAGGGCCGCCGTTGGCTCGATGGACACTGCGCGCTTGCGGTGTCCTTCTCCTCCTCCTCCTCCTCTTCTCCTCCTCCTCCTCCTCCTGCTCTTCTCCTCCTCCTCCTCCTCCCCCTGGTCCTCCTCCCCCTCCTCCTCCTCCCTTCCTCCTCCTCCCTGCCTCCTCCTCCCTGCCTCCTCCTCCTCCTCCTCCCTGCCTCCTCCTCCTCCTCCTCCTCCTCCTCCTCCCAGCCCGGTAGCAACTGTCTTTCCGACCCGCGGCGAGGCCGGGCAGGGGAGGGGGAGGAGCCAACAGCGCAAAGGACGGCCGCATCGATATAGATACCGAGATGGACACTTCAGGGCGGGGGGGGGCCCTCAAGTTCAGGAGGCAACTGCTGGAAGGTCTTCGTGCTCGCGACGGAGGGCTACTGGGCCCGACTAGGAGGTCATTGGGCCGGGTAAGGCCATGCGGGGACAGCAGACGATCACAGCCACATCGAGGACACCACCATGGGGGATGTCTGGCACATGCCGACGGCGTGGGCGTCCCTGACGGCTAAATCGACCACGACCACAGCCGAAGTGCTCATTTCGGGATCGATGGATTATGTGCCAGAGCGCCCTCCAGCAAAATCCCCTCAGCTGTGGTTGTGGTTCTGTGTTGTGCCCAAAGGCCAGAGTATAAGAAGCCGAACTATGTGTATATCTGTGTGTAGAATCGTACGTACCTCTCCGAGGGAGTAGAACTCAGAGGCGATTAATGCGTACACGCTGCGTCGTTCGCGATTCGTCTGGCCGTTTCAATGAGGACATCCTCAAAATTCTGAAAATCGGTGGCACCCCTCACACAGATCGTGACGTCAGGGTCCAAAAACACATGGGAATTTCAACATTTTACCATAAAACCTTCAAACACACATTGAAATTTCAATAATTTTGACCCCGATTCTCAGAGAATGGCGGTTTCGCCGGAGACATCCTCCCAGAACCGAGCCCCGACGTACCTTCTGGTACCCCAGACCCCGCCTCGGAGCCTCCTGGGGGCCTCCTGGAACCTCCTGGGGCCTCCTGGGGCTTCTGTACCTTCTGGTACCCTAGACCCCGCCTCGGAACCTCCTGGGGGTCACCTGGAACCTCCTGGGGCCTCCTGGGGCCTCGTGCGGCCTCCTGGAGCCTCTTGGGGCCTCCTGGAGCATCCTGGGGTCTCCTGGGGCCTCCTGGGGTCTCCCAGGCCGTGAGATGTCCTGAGCTGAGGTGGTCAGGCCACTTTCGCCTGAGACATCCTCGCAACGCTGACCTCGGAGAGGCATTGCCCTCGTCGATCCTCCTGCTCGATTCCCAATCCTTTGGGGGGGCTCTTACTCGATCTTAGATTCTTCTGCGTTCACCTCCTGCCTCTTCCCCTTCTCTTAGGCACGCCCTGGCGGCGCAGCCCCAACTTCCCCTTCTCCATCTTCGATCCCGCCGTCATGGTGTCTTCCTCTTCAAACGCCCTTTCATTTTTTGTATGAGCCGGGGCACACACGTGCTACTTGTGTGTATGTATATATATATATATGTACCTATACGACCACCCTTCGGGTGATAAGGAGGTGAGGGGGGGAGGGGCCAACGTCGAACTCGATCGATCTCACTATCGAACTCACTACCGATCTCACAATCGATCTCAATCGATCGATCTCACGATCGATCTGATTATCGATCGCACAATCAATCTCACAATCGATCTCACAATCGGTCTCACAATCGATCTCGCAATTGATCTCACAATCGATATCAAAATCGATCTCACAGTCGATGTCACATTCCATCCGACTATCGATCCCGCTATCAAACTCACAATCGATCTCATTATCGATCTCACATTCGGTCTCACTATCGATCTCACTATGGATGTCACAATCGATCTCGCAATCGATCTCGCATTCGGTCTCACTATCGATCTCACTATCGAACTCACTTTCGATCTCATTATCGGTCTTACACTCGGTCTCACTATCGAACTCACTATCGATATCACAACCGATCTCACAAGGTCTCACCATCGATCTCACTATCGAAGTCACTATCGATCTCATTATCAATCTCAACCGATCGATCTCACAATCGATCTGACTATCGATCTCACAATAGATCCCACAATCGATCTCGCATTCGGTCTCGCTATCGATCTCACTATCGATATCACAATCGATCTCACATTTGATCTCCCATTCGGCCTCACAATCGATCTCACTACCGATACCACTATCGATCTCACAATCGATCTCACAATCGGTCTGACATTCGGTCTCGCTATCGATCTCACTATCGATATCACAATCGATCTCACATTTGATCTCCCATTCGGCCTCACAATCGATCTCACTACCGATACCACTATCGATACTCACTATCGATATCTCACACTATCGATCGTATCACAATCGATCTCACAATCGGTCTACTTCGGTTCGATCTCCCAATCGATCTCACATCGAGATCCTATCGACCTCACTATCGATCTCACATTCGCCTCACCATCGATCTCACTATCGATCATCGAAGTAAAACATCAACATCATCATCAGCACCATCTCACCATCAACATCATCATCATCCGCACCATCACCATCACCATCACCCATCACCATCATCTCATCATCGTCATCATCAGCATCCATCATCATCATCATCAACATCATCATCATCATCATCATCATCATCATCATCATCATCATCATAATCATCATCGGGACACCGACGGGGCACCGACGGAACACCGCGGGACACCGCGGGGCCCCCGCCGCCCAGAAGAGAACATTTGGTCCGGCCGCGCCTCAGCCACACGGGACACCAGCGGGACACCGGCGGGACACCGCGGGGCCCCGGCCGCCCGGAAGGGAATCATTTGGTCCGGCCGCGCCTCAGCCACAGGAGACTTTCTCTCGCCCGCCCACGCAGCTTCGCCTCGCCCGCACGGCACGCACGAACACGAAACCGAAATCGATTTCCCGGTAGGGGGGCTCTCCGTTCCTTCTTCGATCTCACCCCCTCACCTCCGATAATATATATAATAATATATTATATATAATATATATATATTTTATATATGCCGAATAGACCACCCTTCGGGTGATAAGGAGGTGAGGGGGGGGGAGGGACCAACGTCGCACTCGATTGATCTCACTATCGAACTCACTACCGATCTCACAATCGATCTCAATCGATAGATCTCACAATCGATCTGACTATCGATCTCACAATCAATCTCACAATCGATCCCACAATCGATCTCACATTCGGTCTCGCTATTGATCTCACAATCGATATCACAATCGATCTCGCATTCGATCTGACTATCGATCTCACTATCAAACTCACTATCGATCTCATTATCGATCTCACATTCGGTCTCACTATCGACCTCACTATCGATATCACAATCGATCTCACAATCGATCTCGCATTCGGCCTCACTATCGATCTCTCTATCGAACTCACTTTCGATCTCATTATCGATCTCACTATCGATCTCACATCGATATCACAACCGAACTCACAATCGATCTCACATTCGGTCTCATCATCGATCTCACTATCGAAATCACTACCGATCTCATTACCGATAGTGATCTCACTACTAACTCAATCGATCGATCTCACAATCGATCTGACTATCGATATCACAATAGATTCCACAATCGATCTCACATTCGGTCTCACTATCGATCTCACTATCGATATCACAATCGATCTCACAATCGATATCCCATTCGGTCTCACAATCGATCTCACTATCGATTTCATTATCGATCTCACATTCGGTATCACAATCGATCTCACAATCGATCTCACAAGCGATCTGACATTCGATCTCACAATCGATATCACTACCGATCTCACTATCGATCATCAAAACAAAACATCAACATCGTCATTATCATCACCATCATCATCATCAATATCATCACCATAATCGGGACACCGACGGGGCACCGGCGGGACACCGCGGGCCCCCGGCCGCCCGGAAGGGAGACATTTGATCCGGCCGCGCCTCAGCCACACGGGACACCAGCGGGACACCGGCGGGACACCGCGGGCCCCCGGCCGCCCGGAAGGGAGACATTTGGTCCGGCCGCGCCTCAGCCACAGGAGACTTTCTCTCGCCCTCCCACGCAGCTTCGCCTCGCCCGCACGGCACCACGAACACGAAACCGAAATCGATTTCCCGGTAGGGGGGTTCACTCCCGGATCTTTCGCTTCGTATCTCACCCCCTCACCTCCGATATATATATATATATAAATATATATATATATATATATATAATATATAAAAACACATATATATATATATATGTGTATATATATATATATATATATGTATACACCGACGGTATTTTTCTGGACCCGCACTGAAACTCGCACAGGAAAGCGAATCCTGGTGTACACGGGATCCTGGTGTATACATGTTTCGTTGTTTCCCAAGAGGAACAAGGATAACAATATAAACCACACCACCCCGACGTCGCCCCCGACCCTGAAAATGTCCTGGGACTGAGAAAACAGCCTGCCACTGGCAATGTAGATGTTCCAGTTTCCGAAAATATATCATCACCGATGCTGAATTTACCTCTCAGGAGCTGAGTCCCCATCAAGTTGCAGGGTCCCTGGCACCGGACGAGGCTCCGCCGTGCGAGCAGGTGGTGCCCGCGTCGCTGCTCGCTGGCGACCTGCAGGACGGGCAAAAGCGCGCGCTCGGGCACGCAGAGACTGCGGCGAGGATCGAACAGGGATGTGCACAGACATGCAAGGTACTGAACGCACCAAAACAAACATTGCACCGTGTTTTGCCTCTGCGAGCCCTCGCCGGGCCGCGGGACCGCCAACAAACACCTCGGGGCGAAGAACCGGCCCCGTGGGAGAGAGGTCCAGGCCTCTGGGGACTCCCGCTCGTATAGGAGGCGTCCAGATACAAGTGCTCACGAGTGTTCTGCCTCTGGGGGGCCTTCGCTGGGCCCCGGGACCGACAAGAAACACCTCGGGATGAAAACCTTGTCGTCCCTGGGACGAGGTCCAGACCTCAGGGAGTTCCCCGCACGCATTGAACAGATGGAGCGTTTTATAATTCCGCGTTTGGACATTGGGCGGAAAGGGGGGGACCCCTGTTTAGTGCGACTGTTTGGAAAAGTGCGTCCCATTGGGGAAACCCCACCTGCTCGAAACAAGGGCCCCAAACAGCCAAGATCTGCTCCATGGGGGGGGAGGGGGGGATGCGAGGGCCCGCGCCGATCGGCAAAACAATGAAAATGAAAACGACCACACATCAGAATATTCAACGTTACGCCTCGATTTGCAGATGGTGGCCCTCGTGGGGCCCAGGGACAGACAAAAAACACGCCTCGGGACGAACAAAGAGGTGCCCCCGAGAAGAAGTCCAAGCGCCTCTGGAGGTTTGCTGGCCCCGGCCTTTGTTTTTTGGCACACCACAAGAAACACAACAGAACCGCACTGTGGGCAAAATCGCTGCGGAGTATTTTGCAGGGGCCGACCTTTATAAACAATGTTTTTCGTTGTCGTGTTGTTTTGGTGTTCCATGGTTTCGTCTCCAATCCGCCTTCGCTGCAAAACGACATCGAAGCGGAAACGGCCCACGAAATCGGCAAAACAGCGCTCAGGTCGACCCATGGCAATTCGGGCCCTTGCTGGGCCCCGAGACCGTCAAGAGCACTTCGGGATGAGAGAGACCGGCCCCCGGGAGAAGGTCCCCATGGGGCCTCTCGCGCGTCGTCGAAACATGCGACCCAGACCCCTTGGAGTCATGTTTTTTTCATGACGGCCGCTTGCGTCATGAAAAAAAAATCACACGTCGCAAAAAAATCAAGACATTGGAGAAAAAAAAAAAAAAAAAAAAACAAAAAAAAAAAAAAAAAAAAAATGTCGACACATATACACACGTGTATATATATATATGTGTGTACACACACATACATATATATATATATATATATATATATATATATATATATGGCCCGCACTTTTCATCCGCATGAGTGTGACGCGCGTACGTAGTGCATAATGGCGCGCAGGCCATTCAGCGCCTTTGCCGCCGCCGCTGATGCGCGAGGCGAGCGAGCCCTACTCAAAGATCGAAGGGCGAGAGAGATGAGAGGAAGAAACATGCACCTCTCAACGCTATATATATACACAAACATACATACATCATGCGCAGGCATGCGTGCACGGAGATGGCACTGCGCGGTGCAACTCGAGGGCGGGGCCAGGGCGGGGAAAAAAAACACCCTTGGAACAAAAAAATCCTGGAACAAAAAACGCGCAGGGGAAACCCGAGCACTGCGCGGACGGTCGCCGTTTCCGAGCTAGCGCAAGCGACGGTTATGAACCACGCCGCACGATGATGCGGCCGACCAACTGGGTGGTCTGAGTCGATCGGAGAGAGGTAGAGATCCCAAGTGAGGAAGAGGTGGAGGGGATGGGCGTTATTTCCAAAACGCTGATGGTCACAAATGTCAGTGGCGCTCATCTGTGCGCATCACGTGGCGCTGCATCTTTGGCGACATCCTGGGATCCCCCAGACCCCCGACGTCGTGATTTTTTTCGCAACGTCGACCCCCAGAGGTCTGTCGCTCCCGAGGCCCAGTACTCGTGAGAGCCCCCAAAGGCCGAACATAGCGAAAAACCTCACGTTGTGATTTGTTCACGACGCCTGGAGGTCTGGGCATCTGGAGGGTCGGCCGATTTCATGACAGCGGCCGCGAGGAGGAGGTGGAGGAGGATGAGGATTCTTTCCGATGCATATGGTTGCAATCTCGTACTGAGTCCTCGGGTACTTGTCGCTGCACGAGCGCACTTCCTCGGGATGACGAGGTGGGAGGATGGGTTGGGAGGGTGGGCGGATCGAACCGGATCGAGGGGGGAGGTGGGTGGTTCCAATCGAAGCGTGGGCAAGGAGGGAGAGAGGCGGCCTGCGGGCCTGCAGCTCGCTCCGAGCAGTGCCAGCGCAGCGTGGGCGGCCCTTCTGCATTAATGCAGCGGCCAGCTCCACGTGCTAATTCAAGGGAAAGGGGAGGAAATTGTGATAGGAAGCGTGGATGTGGATGGGCCGCGGGGTGGGTCGCAGGTGGGTCGCGGGGAGGGCCGACTACAACAGCAAACAGCAACAACAACAACAACAACAACAACATCAACATCAACATCAACAACGCAACAAACATGTTGATCACCGCGAATGTTCACTTCAGCCACGCACCCACCCGCCTCTACCCGCCTCTGTTTCCAATGCGCGTGGCGGAAACGAGCGGCGCACCGCGTCTCCACAGGCGCGCCCACGCGCCGCAGGCACGTCCACATGCCGTGGGCAAAGGGTGGGGGTGGGAAAGGAGAAGGGGATCATACGTGCCCGATGCGGCCACGACCGATCACGGAGGGCGGTTCCCTGAACTCGGGCGATGCTGCTTCGAAAAATCCAAGGAGGGGGGCGGGAGAGAGCAAGAACAGCCAAGTCCAGGCAATCGGCAGCGAGCGGTGGGCCACTACTTTGGACCCGACGCCCGACATGGGTACCGAAAAAATGGGTACGATGCCCAACAACAAATGTTCTCCCAAACCAACAGCGGCCGCCGTTGGGCAGGCGGCCTCCTGTCTCGAATGGACACAGGCCGCGGCGGCGTGGACAGCGAGGCCTGTTCAAAATGAACAGGAACTGCTGTTGGGCAGTGTACCCATTCTTTCGGCACCCATTTCGGGCGTCCAGAACTACAGCGTGGCCTGCGCCGATCGGCGTGCCAGCGTGCGACTGGAGATGGGAACAATGTCGGTGGTGTGCCCTCTCCTCCTCCTCCTCCTCCTCCTCCTCCTCCTCCTCCTCTGGTTGTCCTCCTCCACTTCCTCCTGCACAATCAAAAAAAAAGGGGGGGAGGTGGCGACTGAGCCTAAGGCGCGCCGCCAGCGCGCTCCTGCAAGATGCCCGCGGTCGCGCGGGGCCAGAGATGGATAGAGTGTGTGTGTGTGTGTGTGTGGGTTTGGGTTTGGGTTTGGGTTTGGGTTTGTTTGTTTGTGTGTGTGTGTGTGCGTGCACTGTGCGTGCGGGTGGGGCTGGAGCCGCCGCGCCCGGCCTGGACCCCGCTCAACGCAGGACGCTCGCCGTCGGCGCCTCGCGAGGAGTGAGGCCGTTAAGGTGGACTGGGGAGGGGGGGAGGAGAAATCCACGCCTTGGGTACACTTCTGGCGCTGGACATCAGCGCCCCGCCGCGAGTCGATCACCGCCGCCAGGGTCACCGCATCCCGCCGCGAGTCGATCAGCGCCAGGGTCACCGCATCCCGCCGCGAGTCGATCACGGCAAAAATTTTTGAACCCAGGGAGGCTTGGAAAAAATCACGACGTCGGGGTCTGGGAGGGGGTGCCAGGAAACGGAGGGAGGGGAGCGAGGGAAGGGCTTAAGGAGGATAGGGAGGGAAGGGAGGCAGGGGAGGGAGAGAAGGGAGAGAGAGGGGAGGGACGGACGGATAGGGGAGGGAATGGGAGGGAGGCAGGGAAGGAGAGGGAAGGGATATGGAGGAGAGAAGGAGGAAGGGAGACGGGGAGACGAGACACCGAGCCCCTTAGCCGAGCAACGGCGCCTGAGGGCCAGCGCCCTGCGCCCCTAGGGAAGGAAGCAGGAGGGAGGGAGGGGGGGGGAGGGAAGCAGGCAGGGGGGGAGGGGGACGGGGGAAGGGCAGGGAAGGAAGGGAGGGAAGTGGAGGGAGGGAAAGGGCCTGTCCCGAGGCGGGCAAGAACGGATCGTGGGGAACAAATGCGCGCTGCCTGCTTCCCACGCCTCTGCGCGCGGAAGGGGCGCTGGAGTCCCGCGGAAAAAGGGGGAGGGGAGGGGAGGGGGGGGGACTGGCAGCGCTCCTCGAGTGCCCCTTCTGCTCTGTCGGCAAGCGAACACGTTTTTCTCAAGCTGGACCAGAGATCACCCCGCCTGTTGTTCAGGCAGGCGTCCCCGCGCAGGCGCCGAAAAGGGAAATCACCATCATCCACATGATCATGATCACCATCATCACCAGCATCACAATCATCGTCATCATCATCATCGCAACAATTATTCGTACGGTTCTCCCTCGTGGTACTAGACGTACCCCCAGTGAAACAGATCATCGGATCACCAGGGCGTCGCGAAGACCCTTCCCTTTGCACGGCGGTACTCATTTTTATGGCGGGATGTCGATAGGGCCCCCCCCAGGAGGGTGGACCTTCTCGAGCATCCTGTCATAAAAAGTAGGACCGCCGTGAAGGGATTTCGCGACCCGCTGCATGTTCCGATTCTCTGCCTCATCGGGGTACGTCCAGTACCACGTTGGATTTCCCTTCTCGGCAACCTGCTTTGCGAGGTGAACCATCACGTGGAACTTAAAGACGCAGCGGCCTCTGTACTCCTTCCATGCCCGCAAGAACGCGAGGCTGGCCGTCTGCAACGAGAAAGGAACGCGCACTCACGCCCAGCCGCGCTAACGAAACCCAAGCCGGCTCGAACCGAGACCGAACCGAATCCAGCAAGGACGTGGCATACGAAGGACCGAACCGAATCCAGCAAGAACGTGGCATACGAAGGACCGAGCCGAATCCAGCAAGAACGTGGCATACGAAGGACCGAGCCGAATCCAGCAAGAACGAGGCATACGAGGGACCGAGACGAATCCAGCAATAACGGGGCATACGAGGGACGGGCCACCAGCAAGATCCAAGTGCCATGGGCCACAGTGCAAGTTCCGAGCTCGTGTCTGGAAGGTGTGCACACTGGACGCGCTCATATTGCGCGCGGCTTTTGGGCCCTGGCAATTGTACACGGTGGCCAGGTGCGTGCAGGCCTGCATCAGCGCCGCTCTGCGCGGACCTAGAAACCCAGCGCCTTCGCGGCAGAGCTGAGGAAGAAGTGGCACGAGGTGCCGCGACTCGGCGGCTTTCGCCTTGAGGCGCGGGATCCCGCCTTCCTGGGACGGCATGAACATCTTCAGAGTCAGCCTCCCTATCACGGACTTGGCCCCCCTTTTCCTGAGCGCGCCCGTGGCAATGTAGAACGCCCGAATTCTTCGGCGGAGGTGAAGGATGTTGTCATGGTCCCGCTGCGCCTTCCTGCCCTTTCTACTCCCGCAGAAATTCGTCGTGACCAGTCTGTGGAACACTGCTGCGATGACGTACTGTGCCACGCCCAGGTCGAGGATGTGCATCCCGTCGAGCATGATGGTATCCACCCCTACTCCTTTGACTTGAAAGAGGGAGCAGATCTGATCAAGGCCCTGGCTGTTGGACGCATTGAAGAACTGCAGTTGTGCTGGCGTCTCCACCGACCGAAGTTCGCGAATGTCAGTGCAGTGCTCGTTTTCGATGAGACGATATCCGACGGGCAGGGCGAACTCGGCATTACGCCGCCCGAACACAGTTAATCCCCCAGCTTTGTTGTCCATCTGCAGAGAGGCGGCCAGACGCCTGAGAGCTGCGTCGTCTGGGACAGCAACCGTGCGAAGGGAATTGTCTACCATGTGCTGGTACATGAGATTGTCCCGCGAGGCCCATAGATCATCCATCGTTGCTGGAAATTCAAACAGGCTTGCCTTTGGACAGGTGCACGAGAAGCAAGGGTCCCTTGGGTTCTGCCACGTTTTGAATCCATAAGCTCCCGTGACCTCTAAGAGGTCCGCTCTGATTTCGCAGAGGGCCCCCCGCCACCCCTCTGCGAGGGGGAATCCGCGCTTCAGGGATCTACTCTCAGGCAGGGGCTTCCCGTCGTGGTCGAATGCTGGATATGTGCCCTCTGCTAAAGCATTGTAGCTCCAGCGGAGCACCCGCTGGATGAGGCCAAAACTACAATTTCCTTTGCACCCGCATTTGCAGACGTCCTGCTTCCGAATCGCGCATATGAGGTGCCTCTTCCTGGAGAGACCACTGCTCATATAGTAGCAAAAGAAGCTGTCCCTCTTCGTCCACGGAACACCATCGGAGAAGTGACCCAAGGGTGTGGTGGGGGCCTCTTTCACCACCTCGTGACTCTCGAAGTTCAGGGGCAGCACGTCGGCGTCGTAGTTCAGTGGGCCCCATGCTGCTGGGTTCTCATGCCACGAGTTCGCGAAAATATCGTGCGGCAGATAAAACGGGAAAGTAATATATTCTCTGCTGTCGGTTTCTTTGTCCCAACAAGGCATCTGAACGCGGTAGAAGTCTTTGCGCGCCGTCTCTAGGCCCAGCGCGCGTCTCACATGCTCCGACGCGCGCGCGCTCTGACCAGGATCCAGCGCGAGATCTCCGATCCCAGTGGCCCCAGCCCGAAACGAGTGAAAGGATATCGTTGTCACGTCCACGGCCGAAAGGGATCCCGCCCTGTACCTGTCCACCAAGTACTTCCGAAGACCAGCGCCCCCATCCCCGCCATCTCCTCCGAAGCCTCCTGACTCGACTCCTGGGCCGCCCCTTAGGGGCAGCGGGCCTGACTCAACCCCTTCGGGGCGAGAGCCGCCTCCTGCCACGATTCTCGCTGCCTCCGCTCTTCCCGACATGGCAATGGCGAGTCCGAGGTGCAGCACGGTCAGCGGGGAAAAGATACCCATCTTGACAGAAATCGTGCTACGTACCCCGTTCCTGCCCATGTTCAAGGCCAGAAAAAAAAACGCCCCTATCCTGGTTTACGAGGCGTTGTGCGCTGAAACCCCCGTGGGCTGACGGGGTAAATCCTGCGTGATGCGCCGCGCCCTGGCGGCTCTCGGCCCCGGGGCTTCCCAGGAGGTTTACAGACCACGCACTCGTAACCCAGGGTAGGGCCGCTTTTTTCATCCCTCAACATGTCCCCCTCCCCGTCCTCACATGCACGACCGCAATGCCTGCCGTGCGCGGATGCACAAGGGGCCGAACAAATGAACGGATCTTCGCTATCATCGTGCTGGTCCATCCTGATCCTGACCCTTGCTAGCATTATGCTCATCCGAATCCTTAGGCTTATCCTCATCCTCGCTATCCTTATTTTTATCTTCATCATCGCTATCATTATCTCTATCCTCTACCTCCTCGTCCTCACTATCCTTAGCCTCATCCCCCCTATCCTTATCCTCATATCCAACGGCAACCCGAATCTATGACCCATGTAAGCCGAATCCTCTCGATATCGTCTTGCCTTCTTCTCCTCCTCCTTCTCCTCCCTCTCCCTCCCTCCCTCAGGAACTCCCTGGATCAGCCCCCCGTCAAGGGAGAATTCTGGTGCCAACCAGTTTTCCTCAAACCCCCTGCCGAGGGGGGTCCAGAGCCAACGCGGGCAAAGCTCGCTGTTTCACCGCGCGAGCGCTCCCCCACGTGCGCCCAATAGCACGTCCTTGTCGCAAGG